AAAAAAGTTTTAACTACGGATAATTAAATATAAATATAAGACACCCCTGAGTTAGGCAAAAGCATAGTTGAAAGTAAAATGTCATCTGCCTTCTTTCCTTGTTCATAATTAGTATTGTTTGTTGGTTTTTTTTTATGAGAAGGGGGGGAAGGAAAGGTCATTAGATGCTTTCATACTTTTTCTGCAATGGATTATGGATAATATCTGTGTAGGCTTTCAGCTCAGCGCCGTCCTTGGAGGATTTCGCGGGTGAGAGCATTTCTCGCTCTAGGAGGATCTTGTACAGGCGGTCCACCTTTGGAATAACCAGAGAAAATTCGACTGTGAAGAATTTTCTTTCTTCTAGGCTCGTTCCATTGAGAAGAGTCACCTTTCTCTGGATCCAATGGGAGCCGCAGGTGAGGAGCAGGAGGCACAGGCTCTGTTGCGCCAGAATGATTATCGATTCTGCCAATTCGATGTAGTTGTGCGGGTTCGCCGAGAAATCCGGGCTTTTCATCAGGCTTAACATACTGTAGAGCTCCGCGAAGATCATGAGGAAAACGCTGAAGAGTGTCACCATCAGCGGGTAGCTCAGGGTTTCTCCTATCTGCCCTGCCAACGTCCAAATGTCTAGGTACTTTCGCCTAAGTGGGTGCAGAAAAGAATATATATATATATTTGTTATCAGATGTTAATGGCGTCCTTTAGATTCAATAGACTGCGTAGTCCGATCCGTGGGAGAGCACTAAAGAAATAGCATTGGGAAAAAAATAATTTTAAATAAAATAATCAATTGAAATTATATATTTTTGGAAGGTTTCAGACCATGACAACCAATATGAGACCACTCTAACCTCCATACGAACTCTCCTTTATGGTTTGGTGATTTGGTAAATTTCGTATTATATATGTAGATATAATGAATGTAAAGAATGCAAAGGAAGTACAGGGTGCACTGATGTGAGAGTATGGAACAGCAACTGTCACATGTGAAACAATTAGTCATATACGTCATGCATTTGAAGAACACGGAACTGTCCAAAATGCGAATAAAATCCTGTGCGGAAGTAAACGAACAGCATGAAGTAAAGAAAATGTGGAAACTAATAACCGCGTACTAGCATTCTAAATAAATATAATAATAAAAAACATTTAAACCATTTGACAGGATGACAATTGTATATCGTATTCACATGTTCACCTGTGTACATAGCAAAGTTTTTTTTTCTTCAGTACAATAAGTATTGAAGATACATAGTTTCAAAATGTGTATACATAATTTTGAATCACCCTGTATATGCGATGTACCGACTTAATTGAGCAATAGTTATTCATACTTGATGAGTTGTGGATGGGAATCCGGTTCGATGGCTTCCAAGGTCTTCATCAATTCCAGGGAGAACGCCAGGATCAAGAGCGTGAATGTGGTGCCGTTGAAACTGATCAACGCGTCGTAAAGGTGTTCCGGGTCGAAATTTTCGTCGGTGGCGAGGAACCTGACGAGCAACAGGGTCATCATGACGATCGCGGCACTGAAGGGAGCCCAGCGTGGGAGGCCGCTGGAGTCAGATCCCAGCCGCTCGTCGAAGACGCGGAACAGTGACACCACCCGACGGCCGAAAAAGAGAAAGTAGATGTGGTAGAAGAGAGAGAGGAGGTGGAGGTTGGTGGTCAGGACGGACTTGACCACGGTTTGAAAGAGGCCGAATCCTTCCTGCATCATGTGGGACTGGATGAACTCTGGGTCGAAGAGGAGGGCGAAGTGGTACACGCTATCGTAGGCCAAAATGACGAAGGCCCCGGTGCAGTAGAGGTAAGGAAACGTGCAGACGCTGAATGTCGGAGTGGATGCTCCGACGATCCCAGAATACGGGAACGTCCCAGTGATGAGCAGCAGGAGGCCCGTGGGCCGAAATTTCTCCCACAGGGTCATCTTCATGTTTCGAGCCGTTCCACCGTCTTGGGCCCCGATGCTCACAGGTCCGCGAACTGATGACCACTTCATTTGCTACGGCGATTGGGAATGGACTCGATTAGGTGCATCCGATTAGGTGCATCCGACGTTCCCCACCCAATGTCCCATGCTCAATTTACTTGGGAGGATTAATGACTTGCTGTTTGAGACACGCAGGGAGGAGCTAAATACACTCTTTTTTTCTTCTGAATCGATTAGGCGTTGCCTTGGATATGGGCAAACATCAATTATGACAGTAATTCTAAGTTCTCGTCATAAATGTTTGCATTAGCCTCTCCACCCTTTGTATATTAATCAATTACTGAAGCAAGTGACCTATGACGGAATATTGCTCGAATCGACTTACGCATTATTGCCCATCACTGTTTAAAAATATGTATTCATCCTAACCCAGGCTAGTTATAGCTTCCATAGCAATCATATGTTTTATCCATATTTCCAAGGTTACATGCCCGGATGAAAATGGTTCATGTATGCCTCGTGGACACAGCTGAACGGCTCCACAGTGAAAAATGAATTCGGTTGGTAAGTTTTGCCCAACTAAAATCGCATAAAGTTAAATATTGTTCGTGTTGAAAGCCTGCATAAACTATTTCATATTGCACGTAAAGTAAATGGAGGGTGATGGCTGTAGAGTTACCATATTTCGGACAGCCAAGAAGAGGACGTCAAGCAGTCAGACGGAAATTTGAATACGAAAAAGGACATGTCCTGAGAAAATATCCGGACATACCGTAACCCATAGGAAGAATCCCTCCCGGACGGAGAGCGAAGAAAGAGGACATGTCCGGTAAAAACCGGACGTATGGTATGACCCTATGATGGCATTATACTATGAAGTTGTGCTTACCCAAACGAAGGCACTGACACATGAGGGGATACGAGATTATGAGATGAATGAGATTTTGACGAAAAATTGCAACAATGAATGGAAGTTCCTCGAATTCCGATTAATGATTATAGCCCCAACGCCTTTTCATCGTGATTACGATTAATGAATGCATTGGTTATAACGGTTGCGATTACCGGAACTACTTCACCTTCCGATTACGATGGTACAATTATTTAAAAAGTTTTCATATGTATTGATAATAAGACGACCGACGAGTCGAATATGCTTTTCGATCTACGGGAAGGCGGGAGGAACTATGGCGCCAGGAGTAGATGAATGTGTTAGCGGGATTTGTTCATTGACAGGGGTTTGCTGGCGGTTGTGGTTCAGGTGTGATTCCTGAACATCATTTGTGTGTGTGCTTTGTTTTTCGATTTCGTTACATTTTAAGGTACGGTTGGACCATTGGACCTGTAGTCCTAACGTTACAGAAGGCCTGGGGTGGGCCAAGCCTATGCCTTCACCTTTCTTGTCGCAATTTTGCGGGTCTCAATGTTGTGCCTGATAGGCTAACTGATTTGTGCCGCATCGGCCTTATTGACGTGATTCCTACTCAATGTTCTCGTCGTCTTAGGGCTTTTCATGATCCTTTACTGATAGGTGCTGAAGCAGACTCATTCCTACAGAAAGGAATACTTTGTGAGCATGTTCACTCTGAAAGACCATCAGGTACTATGCATTCTGTTGGAGGCATGGTTTCTCTGGTCTTTTCGAAGTGCCATTGTTCAAGACCTCATCAGCCACTATAGTCTACCTAACCACCTCCATTGTGGATCAATGAATGCCCTCCCTCAGGACTGAGTATGAAAAAAATTGCATTGTTCAATTGATAATGAAAGATACAAGTAGCCTTGTCTTGTGACTTTAAGAGGAAATGACAAGCTCAAAAGCTGTTTTGAGATTATTAGCTTCAGATGTGAATAACCTGGATCTTTGAGGACAATTGGCCACCTCTTGAAAGTTTTTCATCTTTTGACCTGGTTCAGGGTTGACTGGTATCAGGATAGTTATTGTTTTTGGGAAGTTAGAAAGTCTCTCAGAAGAATTTATTGATATCGTTTTAGATGTCTTGATTTGGCAATGCAGGAGCATGCTGCTACCAATTTTATTTTAGGACAAAGGGCATTGTCAGTTGCAAATACTTATATTTTAGAGGGTTTTGTATGAGTACTGAGATCCTGGGGGTGGGGGCTACATGAGCAATGCAAGGTTTTGTCTTATATTTGTTTGCCACTAATTTCTAAAATGGAAATTTGTTTAAGATTTGTAGGTTTGCATTTCTGAAGAACAGTATCCTCAGATCAGATCGAGCTGTCTCTACTGTACCAGAGGTACAGTAGAGAGGTATCATTAGAAATTGACATTCAGTGACTCTAGACTAAGGATGGGCCGGTCAATTGACCATTATTGACCACTAATTTTTTTAATTCAATGAATTAAGATATTTTTATAGAGCTCATAACTGTGGTCATTTATCCCCCAGCACTAAAACCAAAGAGCCAGTTCAATTTTTAAGATTTGTTCATGCAGCCTGCCAAACACCTTGATTGTGGTACATTTGGCATATGTGCATGTGGCACAAGTTAGCTAATGCTCAAACTACCATGACCTTTCACCTGAGTGATGCAGAGTGTGTGTGCAGGCATAGTCTGCTGTTCCAAGTTTTATAGCCTCAAGGACTTTCAAAGTTAAGGTTCAAGATCTAAGTAACAGCTTTAGAACTTTAGTTTCATGCAAGGTCAATCATAGTCCTGGCTAATAGTCTGCATCAGAGCATCAAATTATTCTCAAAGTCTGTGTTCAAGGGACAAGTACTTGGGTTATGCCTATGCCTATGCCTAAAAAAATTACTCTATGAAACATGATTCATTACTGTTTTACCCTATAGATTGCATTAAATTTTATCTTAGCAATGAGATGTTGACTGGTCAACATGGTCATTTATGATCATATGGTCATAAGGCCTAATCTCTTGTTGGGCTCATAACCATTATTTTCTTCAAATGGTCTAAAATGATCATGTTGACCAGTCAACTTCCCATCCCTAGTCTATCACTTGTGAGTCATGATATACATAATGGTGCAAAAACTACAAAGGAAAAAAAAATACTAATAAAAGTTGGTCCTATTTACCAAAATTGACCATAGTTGACCATATTGACTGGTCAATTGACCAGTCAATTGACATGTTTTTAATTGACTGGTCAATAACCCATCCCTACTCTTGACCGAGAATGTTCTCTCTGAATGTGTCTGGAGGTAGAGAATACCATCAGGCTATTTACCCGATCGTTTTCCCTCGAGTGTTCATCCAATAGTAAGCATCTACACTACAGTAGGCACCTTATTTTGTAATAATTGGTTATTGTCATTTGTCATTTAATGCAGTCAAATCTTGAAAACTGAGTCACATCTTTCATGCTTTTTTTTTCCTATTAATGTTACCACAGTTGCTGTATAGTGTGATCAACTAAAGTCCAACAGGATTGAGGAAAATTGAGACTTACTACTTAAAAATGTTTTTATTTCCATCCCTCTCTTTCCCACCTTTTGCTCTGTTCTTTGATCCCACTCCCTCTGCTCCTATACTATCTCAGTGCCATTCCTGTTGTTCCCCTTTTTTAGTTTTTGCTCTCCCTGTCACCCCAAGTTACACCACTCCCATATTGCCCTCCTGTGTGAGGGAAACAGGCTCCAAAATTGAGGGTCCTGTTTCCCTCTCTAAGGCTGATTTCAAAATGGCAGTTCAGTTGCATTTCGGTTACCGTTTCAGTTCAGACTTTGATCTGGTTGAAGTTCCACTGTGAACTACTATCATAAAGAAATCCCAACTGGAACTATGACTGAACTAAAACTGGAATTGAACTGCATTTTTTAAATCAGCATAAGTTTGACCACTCACCAGTTACCATTTCTCTCATGGAGAGGAGAAAAAGGGTCAGGAATCACTTTTTTTGGTGGATAAGGGTGACTATTCTTCTAGGCTTTCAAGTGTGCTGGTAACACCCTTAATTTACATTAAATTCTGTACAATGACCTGGAGACCAAAATTGAGGGTCTAGTTGGTGACACCTACATCCAGGATACTTCTGATTATTACATACTACAATTAGGGTGGTCTTATAATAAAGGTGTTGAATTTTGAGTTTTTATTGACATCACCTGTTTCATTTTATTAAATCCCCTTCAATGTGGTCACAATAAGTTGCAGCTACTGTAGGTTCTTCGGATTCAAATGGATTTTTAAAATGCCTTATTCTATGAAATTCGTGTTTTTGAAATAGTTTAATTCAAACTTTTTCAAAAACACGAATTTAATAGAAAAAGGTATTTTAAGTCTCTTTTAGAGAGGCTGGTTTTTCATGTACAGATCTGCCATACCAGTAGTCAAAATAGATACCAATTTCCATCAATCCTATGAATGCCCTATTAGTAGATGTTTATTGTCTTGCTCAGGTTGTAATAATATCCAGCAATCTCCCAAGGAGGCATAGATGTTGCTGTGAGATCACAGATATCATTGCAGATTGCATACTTGAGATAGCTAGGGATTCATCCTTGGGATATGCTGGAAGGCAAGAATGGCTCACCAAGATCCATATATCAGATTTGCTCATGATGAAGGCCACACAGATCTATGCATTGCTGATGATTCTGGGTTAGTTTCACCCATCTTTAATTTTCAGTTTTCACAAATCTAGTCCAACCCTCCAAAAAGTCTACTTTTACCTGCCAAAGTTTTTGCTAGTCCATGGTGAATAACTGCTTTTGCTGGGAAACTTTACTGTTAATAAGATCAGCTTTTGAAAGCCAAGCTAACTTCTTTTTTTTCTCCTGGAGAGAGCAACATTTCTTTTTCAGTATGACCTGTTTCACAAAACCTCAAACAGGTTTCTAGGCTGTTGGCACAATGTTAATACCATTGCATCACTCTCATAAGGCTTTCTCAATGGTACTGGGTCATCATGCTGTGTTCTTTTTTCTCTATATCCGAGAAGTCATATGCTGACATGTGGAACTGATGGAGAGGTGCGTATCTATAAAGACATTGAGGATGATGATGTGGAATGCTTTCGTGCTGGAGACAGTGCTCATTGCATTGCATATCATGTGAGTTGTGTGTGAGTTAAGTGATACCTTGAGGTCTTTGTGCATGTCTTGAATTTCCTATATTTTTATATCTTTCTTGAGTCACAAATTAGCATTATGCATTGGTGGTTATATTGGTGTCCCCTTGTATTTTTAGGATGAAAAGGTGTATGTTGGGTTGGATACTGGAGCAGTTCAGATTTACTCCTGTCCTGATGGTTCACCCCAAGGGATGGCTACAAGATTTGCTGCTGCTCCAACTCATCTAGCAGTAAACAAAGCTGGAACTGTTTTGGCTGCTGGCTCATGGTGAATAGAGAAGTCTCTGTATTCTAATCATAAACTGGGCCTGTTTACATGGGGTATTGTGGAAAGTTCAGTATGATTTATTGATGATTTTTGTTTTGAAGCCAGAGGTAAAGTACCTGCACTGTGATTCTGGGAAATGAAAGTGTTTTGTTTTGGTTGAGTTTTGGTATATTCTGCTTGCATGCAGATCAATTTTGTTCATATCTTAACTCTTACTTTTGGCAATATAGTCCATCGGATTTTTTTTTGTGGCTTTCGTCATAATGTAGATGCTACTTTTTGTCTCTATTTAGTGACATGTCAATTCGGGTCTGTTCATTGCCAGAGGGAAAGTGTAAAGTACTAATGGGTCATGGTGCTCCAATCTTGAGCATTGCACTGGATCCTCTGGACAAGTATATGGTGAGTATTTCTTTAAATATTTTATTACATCGAGGAATGTTTAGTTTATTTTAGTTATGATTTTCTTGTGCATTTTTGGATGAGAAAAAATATTTGGCTGTTGTGATATTGAAATTTTTTATTTTTTGACTTTCATAAAATTATTTCTTTTAATATTAACTGAAATTAGCATTGCTAGTCTCTGGCATCAGAGGCTCTTCAATTGGTTACACTACAGACTCTTCTGCTCTGTGGATGCACCTGAGATAAGTTGAGCACCGAGTGAACTGAAATCTACTAGTATTAGTGCATCACTTGAGCTTTTAGTCCTCTCACAGGAGTCAGTCAGGGAATCTTACTTATTTGAAAAGTATGTCTATCTTGTTTATTGAATGAAATGGTATAAACTTCATAGTAGAGAATCAGTAGTTGCAAGTTTTAATGCATTATCTAAAGTGCCACTTTAGTTGATTGCAAGGGTAATGTATATATGCAAGGTGGAAGTAGTGTGGAAAGGCATATTTCAATCTCTGGAATTTCATAACATGCCCAGGAAAGCATGGGAAAGGCAGGGAATTTGATTTGGAAGTTTTTCTTTGAAGCCCAATATAATAGCATTGTATTGCTTTTTTAATTTTTAGGTGTCATCCAGCTGTGATGGGACTGTGAAGGTCTGGAACCTTGAAAGTGAACGATGTGTGGAGTCCCTGAATTTAGTGCCGAAAAGCAATGATTTTGTGAATTCACCCAGCTTATGCAGAATGAGCTGGCATCCAACGGATGGCAGTCTGTTTGCTGTACCATGCTCAGAAGAAATTAAGTTTTTCAAGAGGGAATCATGGGCTCTCCTTTTCACCTTGCCAGCTTCAGATCTTGGACAGGTGCATTATTTTTTGGAAGTTTGTTTAATGCAAAAGAATTCATGAAAGTGTGCTTTTTGCATGTTGGTTTTCTTCTTTCATGTGACCTCTCTCCATTTAGGTGTCATTGGTCAGTTTTTCTTCATGTGGTACCTACCTTGCTGGTGCCTCCACTGCTGGGCTTATAAAGATCTGGAAGGTTCAGGACAGAACACCACTCAAGTCTTTCAAAAATAAATCAAGTCATGCTATTTCTGCCCTTACATGGCTAAAATCTGAAGAGGGGAATCTCCAGATTGGCTACTGTGATACCAAGGGCTACCTGGGGATGATCAGACATCCCATTGAGAATCTAGAAGAAAAGCCCTCTCTTCAAGAGACTCCAGAGGTGTGTTCTTATTTCTTGATGTTGCTGTCTTTCATGCCTTTTCTGTTTCAAGTTATTTATTTTCTTTTTAAGCAGGTAGAAGATATGTCAGATGTGTCCTTGTCTGAATTTGAAGATGCCTCTGAGGGCCATGATGCTTCCAGTAAAAATGTTCTGAAGCCATCACATGTTGAGGAAGAGCCAGATGATAATGCGATATCTATATCTCAAATTAAGAGAGAAGTTGGCTTTGATGATGAAGGAAATCTTCTGAAACTGCCCAAAATCAATGATGCCCATGAGAATGAATCTTCACGAGGTAGGCTGTAACAGTGGCATGCATTTGTGTTGTGTAGCTTCATTGATATGGAAATGTGCCTTATTAAACAAGACCTTGAAACTGATTACCAAAACAGTATAAACACCTTTGTGTTTTCTGTATTGGTTCAATCAATCCCTTTTTAATTCCCAATAGATGGTGTTTCAGAGAAGGATGAAGTGAGCAGCCTGGCAACAGGATCATTGTACGAAATGCGGTCCAGAAGACCCCCTATGACCACTGAAATTCAAGATCCATTCCAACCAGGATCAACACCTGAAAATCTTCCTCACCGTTTTCTGGTACAAAATATATTTAATTAAAAATTGGGTCAGCTGAATAGACTGGTGCTACTTTATTTCATGAGATATGTATAAACTCCTGGTGATTTGGAATTTTCTGCCTATTCTACTCTTCAGGAAAATGGAAGTCATACCAATTATGGACTGTTTGGAGAAAGTTTTATTGTTTGTGTGAAGAACCCTTCGAGGTTCTCACATTGAAGTCTGTTAAGGAACTATGAGCATCATGTACTGGCAAAGGAGTTTTCTTTTATAATATGAATTCTGCATTGTTGTTCTTGTAGGTGTGGAACAGTGTGGGGCTTGTTTGTGCAGTAAATACTGAAGATGAAAATTCCATTGATGTGGAGTTCCATGACACCTCTGTTCATCATTCCCTTCACTTTAGCAATGTCTTCCATCACACCATGGCTGCTCTTTCATCGGATGCTCTACTCCTTGCATGTGAAAGTGCTGAAGATCATGCAAGGTACAGTATCTCAAGATGCAACTGTCGTAGTAGTTACTTTTACTTCAGGATGATAGTTGCATTGTTGCATTGAACAAAAGTTGCATTGAACAAAAGTTGCAAGTTGCATTGAACAAAAGTCACCTATTTATTGGAGTGTCTCATGTTAAAGGATTCTGCATGCCTTGAGCAGTCATATGTTTGCTTTACTTCACTTAGGTGTAAAAAGAACTTTTAGGTGTAAAAAGAACTTTTATTCTGATTATACGATTTCCAAAGCTCATTATCTTAACTTCTCAAGTTTAGTCATGAGTCTTGAAAGATTCATGCCTTCTTTTTCATGAAGCCCAATATTAATTTACTGTTGCAATATTTCATTAAGTTCAGCTTCAACAACCAATGGTAGTTCCTTTTTATTCTAGCCCTTGTTTGGTTTTGTTTCAGTCAAGTTAATGTTACTAAAGTTATAAGGATTTATAGTCACATTTCTTGTCGTGTTCAAGTTCAGTGACCCCATTTTGACACATGACAGTTAAATTTGGAAGATTCTTTTCATCATTTGTCCTTGGATAAATTTATTATATTGATCAATCACAATTTTATGTATATCCATGCAAAAAGTTATACAGGGTGTTTGAAAAGTCACTCTGCAGTAGAATTCATGACATTTCATAGGAGGCCTAACTATAGCTAGGAATTACAGACAATAAATTATGTAAATTTGGAATGGTGCTCATATTTGATGAAGTATTGAGTGGAAATTCATGTCTTTGATGATGCAATACATGTCATATGCAGCAGTGTAGGAAAAAAAAAATTTTCCCATGAATCAGAGGCAACAGATTGGAATTTCCCAGGAAGGCTATGCAAGCAGACTAAGCCCATGCGTTTCCTTTCCCACAAACCTTGTTCGCAGGTTTGTAAGGGTTTTCCTAGCCTGGTATGCTGTACAATACTAAATATACATGCAACAAAATAAATGAATTCTACTGCACAGTGACTTTTCAGACACCCTGTATAAGAAAGTTTAGTATTATTTACATTCATTCTGATTTAATTTTGGTGGAGGTACCATGATGGTCATAATTTTTTTAATTACTTTAATCCTGATGGGATTTTTGTCCTTTGTCATTGCAAGTTAATACATTCTTTTCTGTCAATGTAGCATGAATTTTTACTTACAAATGTTTTCCAGAAATATGGTGAATCTATGCTGTCATTTGGAATATTGCTTGCATTGACCGCTTTCTAGATATATTTTGAAAACATTTGTTCATCAAATTGTGTAAGATGTATGCAAATTCTACTCCTACTGTAACCAGTGTCCTTATATCTTGATAGCAAAGTCACCTGCCACAACCTTAATGGATTGAACACCAACAAGGAATGGAGTATAGACATGCCTGAAGGTGAAGATGTATTTGCTTGTACTCTTGGGAGAGGATGGGCTGCTGTAGCCACTTCCTCAAGGTACCTTCGTCTCTTTACCCTTTGGGGTATTCAGAAAAATGTAATCTCCATTCCTGGGCCTATTGTCAGTCTGGCCAGTCATGCTGATCTCCTAATGGTTGTCTACCACTGTGGCACTGGTGAGATTTCATTGCAAATGGTTTTTCTTGTTTGTCTTCTGCCAATCAAATAGTTCCTTTGACCTTATCAGGGGTTCCAGGGGACCAGTGCCTTGCTTTCTGGCTGTATGATGTCAAAAGAGAGAGGGTGGTAGTTCCCTGGGGTTGTCCTGTCCCCCTTTCTCCCAAGAGTACCCTTTCATGGCTTGGATTGACAGATGAAGGATCTCCTGCCATCTGTGATTCAGCTGGATTGGTGAAGATTGCTTCTATAAAGCGGTCCTATGCCTGGATTCCTGTCTTGGACTGGCGAAGCCAAGTATGCCATATGCTCCTTCTTGACCTTATCTAGTCTCTCAGACTTTTTTTTTCACAAGCAATGGCTGATAACATTTATGACTGAAAATGTAAGGGTGGTTTGATTTCATTTTTAGGTTTGAGTAAATTTTTCTGATCTCAAAGTAGATTGCAGGGGAGCTGCTGCTGATGGATTTGAGTGGAACATAATTTCAATTATGTTGATTAAATATTATTTTTCTTGTATAAATTCCAGGTAAAAAAGAAGACAGATCATTACTTTGTGGTGGGTGTGAGTGAGAGGCATCAGTATGTGAGAGCCATCTTTTGCAAGGGATCTCAATATCCCTCCCCTCTTCCTCGGCCTACTCTCATGATGCTCCCCTTCAAGGTTTGTCATTTGTCTTTCCAAGTGATCTTGACATGCTTTTCCCACTGATGGTGGGTGCATATTATATTCTATTAAGTATCATATTTTGATGTAAAATGATATGAATAAATTTGGACTTCCAGCATCCTGCTAAATCTTCCATCATACATTGGTTTACCTTGGGCTGGTAATCAATCCTGTATTAATGCTAAGTTTCTGCCATGTCCAGCCCACTTACTTTGTGGCTCTTATGGAGGAGGAGACCCAAAAGATGGAGAAGCTTGCTTTTAAAAAAATAATAGAAGTTTGACACTTTTGCTAGGCTGAGATGGTGTAATTTTATATTTTTGGTTTTGAGAATGATACATATCACTCAATTGGTTTGATAAGTATTGCACTCAAGAGAAAGTTGCAGGGTGCTCAAGAGCTTAAGTAAGACCTGTCTTGAAGCCTCTAGAACTATAGCTGTGCAGATGTTGGCCTTAGTTGTTGGATGTGCAAGGTGCTATGCAAGGTGCTACATCTTGAATCCTATCAGTCTTTGTCCTTGAAGGAAGTTTTACTGTAAAATTGCACCTCAGAGGTTCTGATAGCAAATGTGTTAAGAGCTAATGCTATGCAAGCATTCAGCATGCCAGTAGGACATGTAGTCCTTTAATCTGTCTCTAACTTTGAAGAAAAAAAAAACTTACTTTCATTGATCATAGGACTGTCTGAGAAACATTTAATGAATGATCAAATGTGATTTTTTATTCTTGCCTCAATAAAAAAAGGTGATTGAACTTTCTTTTCGAAATAACTGTCTCTCCTTTTGGATGACCCATTGAAAGTTGCTTGAAAGGATAATCTCAGTAAGGAATGTTATTGTCAGATTTTGTTGAGAAATGGTGGATATATTGAGTGTTCTGGTTTAGGCTAAGGTCATGGATTATATTTTTGCAGATCCCCCTGTGTGTTGATGGTGAAGCCAAGTCACAGCTGGAGGAGACTTGCTTGAAGACAATTCTTGCTTCTGAGTGTCTGTCCAGATTGAAAGATCCTGAAGCTGAAGATGAACTCAAGACTGCTCAGAGAAATTTGGCAGAATCACTTATGAAACTTTTTGCAGTAAGCTTCATTTTTTCCAACAATCATAATTTGTATAATGAGTAATACTGTTGGCTTTCACCTTAACCAATAATATTAGTAGCCCCTGCATGACTAGTTTTATGCTGGTATGAAAACTTTTATACTTGGAAGTAGGGTTGCCCATTGTCCTTTGGCCACATCCAAGCAATGGGCAATTTTGATCTTGTACCCATCAGCTGGTGTTAATGCCAATGCCAGTTATGACATAGATAATGAGTAAATAACTTTTTCCAGTGGGTTAATTTCCTTGTTAGTTGTAGGGCTCCATCCTTAGCTTGAAGAATGTGTAGATGATCGAAGTCTTGGTGCACTTTTCCAGCTGAGTTGTCGGGCAGACTTGGAGATGCGCGCATGTGAAGTTGCATCGATGATGCCCGATCCCATGTTGATCCAATTGACCATAAAGTATGCATCGCGACAGCATCGGATGAGACTTGCTGAGCAGCTCACTGCAATGATGGAAAGAAGGATGGAGGAAGAAGAGATGGAAGAGGAGGTTCAGCCAGAATTATGGAACAATCATCAATCCAGGTTGGCAAAGCTCTCCATGAATTAAAGGACTTGGGGGTGGCTTTCATTTCTGCATGTGTTTGGTCATGGAAAGAACTGCAGGAGGTCCTTTCTTCTGTATATCTCCCGAGATGTGAGAGAATTTATGACCATAAAACTTAAAACTATTAGCTTTTTGAGTTTACCATAGGTCACTTGCAATTGTCTTATACTTTTTAAGGATCTCCCTTCTTGATTTTCCTGAAGTCTCAAGTTGTCAGGTTCACAGAAATTTATCTTCATGATCTCTTGCCATGACTTCCAGCTTAGGCTGCAATGGTTAACATTAGCTTCTTGCTACTTGACATACCAAGAAAGCAGAGAGCCATGGCTTACTTTGGGAGTAATGGATGATAATGATGTTACAGGAAATATATTTTATAGTATTTTCTTTGTGAAGAAATGTAGAAAGAAGAAATAATGAAAAATTTACAAAGCTAATATTTCCACAATTGGTTTGACACTATACCAAACAGGATGCTTTTTTTTGGTCCTGTATGGTGTATGTGTGTAAATATGCACAGTATTGGGACACTAGTTAACATTAAATCAGGAGATTGGATATTGCTAAAAACATGTTTTTGCAGCCGTAATTGTAGAATTTAGATATGAAATTAGTTATTCATTCTGTTTATTCTTTGGTTTAATGTCCTATTTTATTGCAGGTCTCCAGAGCAGCAGGTCTTGGATGAACCAAGTCAGCATGAGAGAGCACGATCAGAGTCACCTCAGCAGACAAATGACACAGAAATCATAGAGGCAACACCAACAGGTACTCCATCCTCTCAATGAGGATGCTAATTCTCTGGAGACCTAATTACTTGGTATAGGGCACCATGATGAATAAATATGTTTTTGTGCAGATAATCCTCTGATATCAGTTGTAAGGGGTCATGCTAAGGGAGGCTCCAAACGAGGCCTTTTTACACCAAGCCCAGCCTCAGTAAATCCTTTCAGGAAGCCATCAGCAAAGATTGAGAAGGACAAGGAAGGAGCCATTGGAACAACTGTATTTGACCGCATATCCCAGAATCCCCCTAAACCCTGCAACAATGAAAAGGGGAAGGATGCATCTCTTGTCATTGCTCCAAAGGCAAGTTATGGCTCTGGAGAATAGTATTCAGGCTAATTCAGGCATGTTCATCATCCAACCTCTGAGCTGTTCATAAGAGATGTTTGGATTTTGTCCTTCAAATGAATTGTAGATGAAGCAGCAAATGCTCTTTGGAAAGAAGGAGAAACAACCCAGACAGGATTTGGAGGCAGATGGTTCACAGGAGGACCCCAATGAAGTTTCACAACCCCCCAAGAGCATTCTTCCATTCAATGTCTGGTTTGAGAAGAATAGAGAAGTCCTGTCATCCCAAAATCCTGAGTTATCCAGCTTAGAATTGACCAAGTTGGCCATGAGATCGTACAAAGATTTACCACAGCCAGAAAAAGTGGTATGTTTCTCGATGTCCACTGTGCCCTTACCTCATTTCTTTTCCAGCCCTGTTTTTTAATGCAGTTTTCCATTAATCCTTGAATTCAGGTAGCAGTTAACACTTTCGATGACTGATGATTTGAATGTGCTAAGGGTGTAGGGCATCAAATGACAGGTAGAGGGCTGAAATTTATTAATCTGCTTCAAAGTTTTAAATAAGCATAAATGTGGAAGTAGACAGTAGTCAATTTAGCCAGATTTTGGATCCAATCTCCTGCTTCCACCTTGTGAATAATGTAATAGATTATTTTCATAGATACTTTCCTCTCACATGAATGCACTGAGGGCCATTTCATAGATATCTGCCCTCTCCTTTATAGTTTTAATTTACAAACAGAACCAAAGCATGGCAAAAAAAACCCCAAAGCAGATTTCTTATGTCCTCTTTGAGTTACCATAGGAGCTGGTAGTTTTGAACAGTAATGTGCAAAAAGGAGATTGTTCACTCCAATGAACTGCATATGGAGGCACTGGAACACACATTCCTGTTTGCTAATTGGTGAGAGGAGTAATAATATTTACAACAAATTCTTTCACAGGACATTGATGTCTCATTAATAATTTTCTAATCACAGAAGACTTCAATGCTACAATCTTGCAAATGATCCAATCCAATGCCATTAACTTTGGCTTTTTACTACCCAACTAGCAGAGACGTTCAAAGCGAAGGTTCAGACATTTTGCCATTTTGGTTCATGCCATCATTGTGTAACTATTTTTGTGCAAATGTGGATGCCTATACAAAGTCAGTGTGATGTATTCCTACGTTCATGTTTAATATATTGCTCCACACCTCACACCCTCAATGGAAGAATGTTTTGTACATGAAGCTGACTATGGTTTTCAGGGAAAGAGTGTCCTGAATGCTGGTTCAAAGAAGAGGAAACAGGAAGAAGTTGATTTCCAGAATGGAGGAAAGCAGGCCAAAGCAAAGAAAGGACGGAATCCATCGACGGTGTCAAAGTTAGCTGCTTTCACAGCTCCACCTTCAGATTAACCTTCTGAGACCCATATTAAAGAATTGTCTTATGTATTTTATCTTGTGTCTCAGGAGGTTAAACTGCACACTTGTTCCATATTGATATTTGTATGGAATCCTTTAGAATGGCAATGAAGTCATGTTTATTCTCATATTTCTTCAACTTTCATTGCTTGGTAAGAGGTGAATCCTGAATCCCTCTTATTGCCTGTCGTCTCTGGGAGCCCCATGGTTCTGGTGGATCTCGAGACGACTTGGATATTCTCGCTTTCCTCCACGTTTCCAGCTGATGCGTGGAAGAGAAAATATTACGGGATCCGTGACTACAGTTCTGGCTGGCGTCCTTCGTTTGCGTCGACCTATCAAGTTCTTCATGAACTTTGTCAATTTTTTGCATTGATGTATCCTGAGGTATTCGAAATCCCATTCTGCCCGTACAGGGGCTGACCGGGGACTGTCTTACCGTGAGGAAAAAACCAGGCAACATCGAAATTTGAATTCAGGTGTGCAACAGTTCTTATGCTTGGATCTGAATGAATTTGTGCTTTGCAATCAGTAGGCCAAAATCGATTCGTAATGGCCCACATACTCAGGTTATTGCAGCCAAAATGAGGCTGCTTTGCACTAAGCAACGCTCCAGGAAAATTTATGTAACTGGCCCTGTGAAATGATCTGACATAAGGAGACTCGATCATGGGAAGGTGTTGCCTAAAGCGACTCCTGCTTAATTATTGATGAGTTGCTTAATGTCGGTCCCGCTTGACTTGACTCATCAATTCGTCTTTTTTTGTCGTCCTCTACTTCAACGATCATCGACTTTCAGCTTGAATCACTGGATAGAAATATCAAGGAAAAGTTAAAGAAGGAGATTGATCTCATCCGGTCATTTAACCTATAACCCGCAAGCATTCCATCATTTCAGATTCCTCAACGTTTCGAAGGTAATTTTGATGGTACCGTTTCCTGGAATTGTTTTAATTCGTGAGACCGTTCTTCCATTCAGAATTTTTTTCAGCCCGCAGCTCTCACGCGCAGTGCGTGAACGGAGCACGCGGAGCGGGACCGAGCATCCTCCGTGCTCGCGAGGACGTGAGGGCTCGTAACGGTGGGCCTTTCTTTTTTTGGGGGCCGGGGGGGGGGGGGGGCATTTTGGGGGGGGGGTTCGGGGGGGNNNGGGGGGGGGGGGCAATTCTGAGACGGGATTTCGGGGGTCGGGGGGCATGGAGGGGAACGGGGATTGTTTCGTTATTGAGGGGCGGATATTTATGGCCTGAAAACTGCTTTAATGGGACCGAACATATGCACGTGTGACCTTGATGTTTTATTATATAGGGATGTTTTATTATATATATTTGCAATTATTTTGCTCTCATTGGTGCCAAGTATCCGTATTGCGTATCGATGCGCCTTCATGTTTTTACGATCGAAAAATGACTTGTAAGGGTGTAAATGCCGTCCAGAACGTAAAGAAAGTTGGTTGTTTCTCTTGAAATTGCGTGCCAAATTTTCGGATGCATTTCGTGAAGATCGAAGTGGCTGATTTCTTGCTTCGGGTATTGTTTCGTAATTTGTGGCAGTGTCGGTCGGAGCGTGTCGATCGGATTGTCACGGGCCTGCACGACTGCAATGAAATGGGAGGAAAGGGTTGCCTTTTTTTGTTGCCTCTGGTTGCCTGAATGTCGTCGTGATTCGCTATCGGTTCGCCTGAATCTGAAAAGATTGCCTTTTTTTTTTTCTTTCTGAGGTAAAGCTAAGCCGTGAAGATTATCCCTATTTAAACTAGATTCCCGACAAGTCAAAAATAAATATTTGATGCTTGCATCGGATTTATTATTAATATTTTTCCCGCTCCGCCGCAATTTATTTAATCAAATTCAGTCTCATGGTCGCGGAAATTATTTATTTATTTATTTACGAAATGCTCTACGAAATCAACGCAAAATTCATCATTCCCTTATTGACTCTGGGTAAGCAGCAAAAGAAACAATAGGCTTGCAAGAACTGATTTAAATAATTATTTTTAATAGCCTATTGGCTATTAAAAATAATTATATATTTTATATATTATAATATATTTTATATATTTTTTTAATTACTCAAATAGTGTTTTCGCTTTGGTTTGGGAACTCCTGTATCATTTCGTATTATTTGCGGCCAAGCAAATTGGCAAAGCGCCGCATCTTTTTTTTCTGCAGTTGGTATCGTCGCACGATTGATTGTGCAATTTTTTTTGCAATGAATTTTTTTTTTTGGAGCAAGAAAGAGTTAATAGGAGAAAGGACGGGGAATCGCACGGCGGAGTGTTTTCAGGTTCAAGGTTTCGCCATCCGATCTGACTTGCATGGCTTCCCGCGCGGATCGCTTTTCGCAACTGATAGGAGCGCGAAGATTTCCCCCCCCCCCCATAAATTATTTTTGATATTCATTCGAACGAACTTGAAAAACGACTCCGGGAAAATGGGATTTCGCGGGGATGCTCAAATAATAAATAATAAATAATAAATAATTTTTTTCGTAGGGCGACAGGATGTCTTTGCTGATGAATTATCAAATTATCAAATAAATATGTGCTTCTCGAATTGTCTGTCGATGCTTCCATGGATTTTTTTTTCATGATGGATTTTCTTTGATGATGGATGGAAAATTGTTGACAATTTTCCATTTGCTCTTGCTGTCAATCGTCTGTTAATTAGTCAATTATTAATCATCCTTGATGAGAAGGCCAAGAAGCCCATGGCGTCACCTTTATTTCCCGCAGAATACGCCAAATATCATTCTTACGTCGAAAGAAAATTCCTTTTCATGTTGAGGAAGGGGGAGGGGCGGGGCGGGGCGAGGTTAACCAGCTGTGTTTAAGTTGGTGCTTGCACTGAGCTTCGTGCGTGAGGGGCGACCGGGAGGGGACGAGAGTGCGTAGGAGCAAGGCCGGACGGAAAGCCGGATTGAGAAAGCCGGACTCTTTCCCCCCCCCCCGCCCCGCCCCGTTCCGAGTTTCTGTCTCTGTGTCGGTTTCATTGTGGAGTCGGAGTCATGGTCGGGTCGGGTTTCGTCGTCTTCTGTGAGTTGGCCGGATTGGTTTCCATTTTTTTTTTTGTGCGTCGCTGTCGGTTTCTTCCGCGTCGAGGCATTTTATGGAAGGGGTGGAGGTGATTTTTTATTTTTTTCGAAAATTTTATTTTTATTTTTATTATTATTATTTTTTTTTTGCTTTTACGAAAAAAAAAAATTTCTGCATTTTTGGAACCGGAGTTTGGGGTTTATCTCAGGGAGGGGATTTAAATTTGCACGAAAAAATTGCCGGGAAAAAAATGTTCGCGACGTACCTCAGCGGCTCGCTTCAGACCAAAAATTATTTAAGTAATTTAAATTATTTAAATAATTTTTATTATTTATAGCGTCTTTCTGGCTCGAGAGGAGGCACGAAGAAAAAAAAAAGTTTTTGCGAACGAAATCATATGATGAACGTCAAGCAAAAAATACTTGAGATTGGCAATCAGGAGTGCCAAACTCGAATCGGTCGGCGAGCCGGATCCGGCCCGCGAGCCGGATATTTGGCACCCCTGATGACTCGACCGGAAACGTCACGGGCTGCTGTGGCAATTAGAGAAAATCGGAGACACCGCTCGAGAAAATGACTTTTTTCTTGGGAAAT